GTCTATGTGTGTGTGTCTATGTGTGAGTGTCTATGTGTGTGTGTCTATGTGTGTGTGTCTATGTGTGTGTGTCTATGTGTGTGTGTGTCTATGTGTGTGTGTCTATGTGTGTGTGTCTATGTGTGAGTGTGAGTGTCTATGTGTGAGTGTGAGTGTCTATGTGTGTGTGTGTCTATGTGTGTGTGTCTATGTGTGTGTGTGTCTATGTGTGTGTCTATGTGTGTGTGTGTGTGTGTCTATGTGTGTGTGTGTCTATGTATGTGTGTATCTATGTGTGTGTGTCTATGTGTGAGTGTCTATGTGTGTGTGTCTATGTGAGTGTCTATGTGTGTGTGTCTATGTGTCTGTGTCTATGTGTGTGTCTATGTGTGTGTGTTTCTGTGTGTGTCTATGTGTGAGTGTCTATGTGTGTGTGTGTCTATGTGTGTGTGTGTGTCTATGTGTGTGTGTCTATGTGTGTGTGTGTCTATGTGTGTGTGTGTCTATGTGTGTGTGTCTCTGTGTGTGTGTGTCTATGTGTGTGTGTCTATGTGTGTGTCTATGTGTGAGTGTCTATGTGTGAGTGTCTATGTGTGAGTGTGTGTGTCTATGTGTGTGTGTGTCTATGTGTGTGTGTCTATGTGTGTGTGTCTATGTGTGTGTGTGTGTCTCTGTGTGTGTGTCTATGTGTGTGTGTCTATGTGTGTGTGTGTCTATGTGTGTGTGTGTGTGTCTATGTGTGTGTGTCTATGTGTGTGTGTCTATGTGTGTGTGTCTATGTGTGTATGTGTGTCTATGTGTGTGTGTCTATGTGTGTGTGTGTCTATGTGTGAGTGTCTATGTGTGTGTGTCTATGTGTGTGTGTGTCTATGTGTGTGTGTCTATGTGTGTGTGTCTCTGTGTGTGTGTCTATGTGTGTGTGTCTATGTGTGTGTGTCTATGTGTGAGTGTCTATGTGTGAGTGTCTATGTGTGAGTGTGTGTGTGTGTCTATGTGTGTGTGTGTCTATGTGTGTGTGTCTATGTGTGTGTGTGTGTCTCTGTGTGTGTGTCTATGTGTGTGTGTCTATGTGTGTGTGTGTCTATGTGTGTGTGTGTCTATGTGTGTGTGTCTATGTGTGTGTGTCTATGTGTGTGTGTGTCTATGTGTGTGTGTCTATGTGTGTGTGTCTATGTGTGAGTGTCTATGTGTGTGTGTGTGTCTATGTGTGTGTGTCTATGTGTGTGTGTCTATGTGTGAGTGTCTATGTGTGAGTGTGTCTATGTGTGTGTGTCTATGTGTGAGTGTCTATGTGTGAGTGTCTATGTGTGTGTGTCTCTGTGTGTGTGTCTATGTGTGAGTGTCTATGTGTGTGTGTCTATGTGTGTGTGTCTATGTGTGTGTGTGTGTGTCTCTGTGTGTGTGTGTCTATGTGTGTGTGTCTATGTGTGTGTGTCTATGTGTGAGTGTGTGTCTGTGTGTGTGTCTATGTGTCTATGTGTGAGTGTCTATGTGTGTGTGTCTATGTGTGTGTGTCTATGTGTGTGTGTCTATGTGTGAGTGTCTATGTGTGTGTGTCTATGTGTGTGTGTCTATGTGTGAGTGTGTGTCTGTGTGTGTGTGTGTCTATGTGTCTATGTGTGAGTGTCTATGTGTGTGTGTCTATGTGTGAGTGTGTGTCTGTGTGTGTGTCTATGTGTCTATGTGTGAGTGTCTATGTGTGTGTGTCTATGTGTGTGTGTCTATGTGTGTGTGTCTATGTGTGTGTGTCTATGTGTGAGTGTCTATGTGTGTGTGTCTATGTGTGTGTGTCTATGTCTATGTGTGTGTCTATGTGTGTGTCTATGTGTGAGTGTCTATGTGTGAGTGTCTATGTGTGTGTGTCTATGTGTGTGTGTCTATGTCTATGTGTGTGTCTATGTGTGTGTCTATGTGTGTGTGTCTATGTGTGAGTGTCTATGTGTGTGTGTCTATGTGTGTGTCTATGTGTGTGTGTGTGTCTATGTGTGAGTGTCTATGTGTGTGTGTCTATGTGTGTGTGTCTATGTGTGAGTGTCTATGTGTGTGTGTCTATGTGTGAGTGTGTCTATGTGTGTGTGTCTATGTGTGTGTGTCTATGTGTGAGTGTCTATGTGTGAGTGTGTCTATGTGTGTGTGTCTATGTGTGAGTGTCTATGTGTGAGTGTCTATGTGTGTGTGTCTCTGTGTGTGTGTCTATGTGTGAGTGTCTATGTGTGTGTGTCTATGTGTGTGTGTCTATGTGTGTGTGTGTGTCTCTGTGTGTGTGTGTCTATGTGTGTGTGTCTATGTGTGTGTGTCTATGTGTGAGTGTGTGTCTGTGTGTGTGTGTCTATGTGTCTATGTGTGAGTGTCTATGTGTGTGTGTCTATGTGTGTGTGTCTATGTGTGTGTGTCTATGTGTGAGTGTCTATGTGTGTGTGTCTATGTGTGTGTGTCTATGTGTGAGTGTGTGTCTGTGTATGTGTGTCTATGTGTCTATGTGTGAGTGTCTATGTGTGTGTGTCTATGTGTGAGTGTGTGTCTGTGTGTGTGTGTGTCTATGTGTCTATGTGTGAGTGTCTATGTGTGTGTGTCTATGTGTGTGTGTCTATGTGTGTGTGTCTATGTGTGTGTGTCTATGTGTGAGTGTCTATGTGTGTGTGTCTATGTGTGTGTGTGTGTCTATGTCTATGTGTGTGTCTATGTGTGTGTCTATGTGTGAGTGTCTATGTGTGAGTGTCTATGTGTGTGTGTCTATGTGTGTGTGTCTATGTCTATGTGTGTGTCTATGTGTGTGTCTATGTGTGTGTGTCTTTGTGTGAGTGTCTATGTGTGTGTGTCTATGTGTGTGTCTATGTGTGTGTGTGTCTATGTGTGAGTGTCTATGTGTGTTTGTCTATGTGTGAGTGTCTATGTGTGAGTGTCTATGTGTGTGTGTCTATGTGTGTGTGTCTATGTCTATGTGTGTGTCTATGTGTGTGTCTATCTGTGTGTGTCTATGTGTGAGTGTCTATGTGTGTGTGTCTATGTGTGTGTCTATGTGTGTGTGTCTATGTGTGAGTGTCTATGTGTGTGTGTCTATGTGTGTGTGTCTATGTGTGTGTGTCTATGTGTGTGTGTCTATATCTATGTGTGTGTCTATGTGTGTGTCTATGTGTGTGTGTCTATGTGTGAGTGTCTATGTGTGTGTGTCTATGTGTGTGTCTATGTGTGTGTGTGTGTCTATGTGTGAGTGTCTATGTGTGTGTGTCTATGTGTGTGTGTCACTGTGTGTCTGTCTATGTGTGAGTGTCTATGTGTGTGTGTCTATGTGTGTGTCTATGTGTGTGTGTGTGTCTATGTGTGAGTGTCTATGTGTGTGTGTCTATGTGTGTGTGTCTATGTGTGAGTGTCTATGTGTGTGTGTCTATGTGTGAGTGTGTCTATGTGTGTGTGTCTATGTGTGTGTGTCTATGTGTGAGTGTCTATGTGTGAGTGTGTCTATGTGTGTGTGTCTATGTGTGAGTGTCTATGTGTGAGTGTCTATGTGTGTGTGTCTCTGTGCGTGTGTCTATGTGTGAGTGTCTATGTGTGTGTGTCTATGTGTGTGTGTCTATGTGTGTGTGTGTCTCTGTGTGTGTGTGTCTATGTGTGTGTGTCTATGTGTGTGTGTCTATGTGTGAGTGTGTGTCTGTGTGTGTGTCTATGTGTCTATGTGTGAGTGTCTATGTGTGTGTGTCTATGTGTGTGTGTCTATGTGTGTGTGTCTATGTGTGAGTGTCTATGTGTGTGTGTCTATGTGTGTGTGTCTATGTGTGAGTGTGTGTCTGTGTGTGTGTGTGTCTATGTGTCTATGTGTGAGTGTCTATGTGTGTGTGTCTATGTGTGAGTGTGTGTCTGTGTGTGTGTCTATGTGTCTATGTGTGAGTGTCTATGTGTGTGTGTGTCTATGTGTGTGTGTCTATGTGTGTGTGTCTATGTGTGAGTGTCTATGTGTGTGTGTCTATGTGTGTGTGTGTCTATGTGTGTGTCTATGTGTGAGTGTCTATGTGTGAGTGTCTATGTGTGTGTGTCTATGTCTATGTGTGTGTCTATGTGTGTGTCTATGTGTGTGTGTCTATGTGTGAGTGTCTATGTGTGTGTGTCCATGTGTGTGTCTATGTGTGTGTGTGTGTCTATGTGTGAGTGTTTATGTGTGTGTGTCTATGTGTGAGTGTCTATGTATGAGTGTCTATGTGTGTGTGTCTATGTGTGTGTGTCTATGTCTATGTGTGTGTCTATGTGTGTGTCTATGTGTGTGTGTCTATGTGTGAGTGTCTATGTGTGTGTGTCTATGTGTGTGTCTATGTGTGTGTGTGTGTCTATGTGTGAGTGTCTATGTGTGTGTGTCTATGTGTGTGTGTCTATGTGTGTGTGTCTATGTCTATGTGTGTGTCTATGTGTGTGTCTATGTGTGTGTGTCTATGTGTGAGTGTCTATGTGTGTGTGTCTATGTGTGTGTCTATGTGTGTGTGTGTCTATGTGTGAGTGTCTATGTGTGTGTGTCTATGTGTGTGTGTCACTGTGTGTGTGTCTATGTGTGTGTGTCTATGTGTGTGTGTCTATGTGTGTGTGTCTATGTGTGTGTGTCTATGTGTGAGTGTCTATGTGTGTGTGTGTGTCTATGTGTGTGTGTCTATGTGTGTGTGTCTATGTGTGTGTGTCTATGTGTGTGTGTCTATGTGTGTGTGTCTATGTGTGAGTGTCTATGTGTGTGTGTGTGTCTATGTGTGTGTGTCTATGTGTGTGTGTCTATGTGTGTGTGTGTCTATGTGTGTGTGTCTATGTGTGTGTGTCTATGTGTGAGTGTGAGTGTCTATGTGTGTGTGAGTGTCTATGTGTGTGTGTCTATTTGTGTGTGTCTATGTGTCTATGTGTGTGTGTCTATGTGTGTGTCTATGTGTGTGTGTGTCTATGTGTGTGTGTCTATGTGTGTGTGTCTATGTGTGTGTGTGTCTATGTGTGTGTGTCTATGTGTGTGTGTCTATGTGTGTGTGTCTATGTGTGAGTGTTTGTGTTTGCAGGCGGAGGAGGCGATGGAGGGGTTCCTGTGGGGGGCTCCTTGGGGGGCTCCTTGGGGGGCTCCTTGGGGGGCTCCTTGGGGGGATCCTTGGGGGGCTCCTTGGGGGGCTCTCTGACTAGAGAGGAGCGCCGGAGACGGAGACGAGCGACGGCCAGGTGACACGCACAGAGACACACACAGAGACACAGAGACACACACAGAGACACACACAGAGACACAGAGACACACACAGAGACACAGAGACACACAGAGAGACACACACAGACACAGAGACACAGAGACACACACAGAGACACACACAGAGACACACACAGACACACACAGAGACACACAGTGACACAGAGACACACACAGAGACACAGAGACACACAGAGAGACACACACACAGAGACACACACAGTGACACAGAGACACACACAGAGACACACACAGAGACACACACAGTGACACACAGTGACACACACAGTGACACAGAGACACACACAGAGACACAGAGACACACACAGAGACACACACAGAGACACACACAGAGACACACACAGAGACACACACAGAGACACACACAGAGACACACACAGTGACACACACAGACACACACAGAGACACACACAGAGAGACACACACAGTGACACACACACACAGTGACACAGAGACACACAGAGAGACACACACAGTGACACAGAGACACACACAGAGACACACAGTGACACACACAGAGACACTCACACAGAGACACACACAGAGACACACACACAGAGACACACACAGAGACACACACACACACACACAGTGACACACACACACAGAGACACACAGTGACACACACAGAGACACACACAGAGACACACAGTGACACACACAGAGACACACACAGAGACACACACAGAGACACACACAGAGACACACACACAGTGACACACAGTGACACAGAGACACACACAGAGACACAGAGACACACAGAGAGACACACACACAGAGACACACACACAGAGACACACACAGAGACACACACAGAGACACACACACAGTGACACACAGTGACACAGAGACACACACAGAGACACAGAGACACACAGAGAGACACACACACAGAGACACACACAGTGACACACACAGAGACACACAGTGACACAGAGACACACACAGAGACACAGAGACACACAGAGAGACACACACACAGAGACACACACAGTGACACACACAGAGACAGACAGTGACACAGAGACACACACAGAGACACAGAGACACACAGAGAGACACACACACAGAGACACACACAGTGACACACACAGAGACACACACAGTGACACACACAGAGACACACACACAGTGACACACACAGTGACACACACACATAGTGACACACACATAGACACACACACACAGTGACACACACACAGTGACACACACAGTGACACACACAGTGACACACACAGTGACACACACACACAGTGACACACACACACACAGACACACACACAGTGACACACACAGTGACACACACAGTGACACACACACAGTGACACACACACACAGTGACACACACAGTGACACACACACACAGAGACACACACACATAGACACACACAGAGACACACACACACAGTGACACACACAGAGACACACACAGTGACACACAGTGACACACACAGTGACACACACACAGTGACACACACACAGTGACACACACAGTGACACACAGTGACACACACACACAGTGACACACACAGTGACACACACAGTGACACACACACACAGAGACACACACAGTGACACACACACACACAGTGACACACACAGTGACACACACAGTGACACACACAGAGACACACACAGTGACACACACACAGTGACACACACAGTGACACACAGTGAGACACACACAGTGACACACACAGTGACACACACAGTGACACACACAGTGACACACACACACAGTGACACGCACACACAGAGACACACACAGAGACACACACAGAGACACACACAGTGACACACACACACAGTGACACACACAGTGACACACACACACAGTGACACACACAGTGACACACACACACAGTGACACACACAGTGACACACACACACAGTGACACACACAGTGACACACACAGTGACACACAGTGACACAGAGACACACACAGTGACACACACAGAGACACACACAGTGACACACACAGAGACACACACAGTGACACACAGTGACACAGAGACACACACAGAGACACACACAGAGACACAGAGACACACACAGTGACACACACAGTGACACACACAGTGACACACACAGTGACACACACAGAGACACACACAGAGACACACACAGTGACACACACACACAGAGACAGTGACACACACACACAGTGACACACACAGTGACACACACAGTGACACACACAGAGACACACACAGTGACACACACACACAGTGACACACACACAGTGACACACACACAGTGACACACACAGAGACACACACACAGTGACACAGAGACACACACACAGTGACACACACAGAGACACACACACAGTGACACAGAGACACACACACAGTGACACACACAGAGACACACACACAGACACACACAGTGACACAGAGACACACACAGAGACACACACAGTGACACACACACAGAGACACACACAGTGACACACACAGTGACACACACACACAGTGACACACAGTGACACACACAGTGACACACACAGTGACACACACACAGTGACACACACAGTGACACACACAGTGACACACACACAGTGACACACACAGTGACACACACACAGTGACACACACACAGTGACACACACACACACAGTGACACACACACACACACACACTGACACACACACACAGTGACACACACAGAGACACACACAGTGACACACAGAGACACACACAGTGACACACACAGAGACACACACAGTGACACACACAGTGACACACACAGTGACACACAGTCACACACACAGAGACACACACAGTGACACACACAGAGACACACACAGAGACACACACAGTGACACACACAGAGACACACACAGAGACACACACAGTGACACACACAGTGACACACACAGAGACACACACACACAGTGACACACACAGTGACACACACACAGAGACACACACAGTGACACACACACACACAGTGACACACACAGTGACACACACAGTGACACACACACACACAGTGACACACACAGTGACACACACAGAGACACACACAGTGACACACACACACACACAGTGACACACACACACACACAGTGACACACACAGAGACACACACAGAGACACACACAGTGACACACACAGTGACACACACAGAGACACACACAGTGACACACACAGTGACACACACACACACACAGTGACACACACAGTGACACACACAGTGACACACACACACACACACACAGAGACACACACAGTGACACACACACAGTGACACACACAGTGACACACACAGTGACACACACAGTGACACACACAGTGACACACACACACAGTGACACACACACACACACACAGTGACACACACACACACAGTGACACACACAGTGACACACACACAGTGACACACACAGTGACACACACACACACACAGTGACACACACAGTGACACAGAGACACACACACACAGAGACACACACAGTGACACACACAGTGACACACACAGTGACACACACAGAGACACACACAGTGACACACACAGTGACACACACAGTGACACACACACAGTGACACACACAGTGACACACACACAGAGACACACACACAGTGACACACACACACAGTGACACACACACAGTGACACACACAGTGACACACACACAGTGACACACACAGTGACACACACAGTGACACACACACACAGTGACACACACAGAGACACACACAGTGACACACACAGTGACACACAGTGACACACACAGTGACACACACACACACAGTGACACACACACACACACACAGTGACACACACACACACAGTGACACACACAGTGACACACACACAGTGACACACACAGTGACACACACACACACAGTGACACACACAGTGACACAGAGACACACACACACAGAG